GGTACGCCCGTACCGGGGTGTACCGCCTGCAACCCACCACTGGTGGACGACCAGTTTTAAGTCCAGTTCTCAAAGCTCAGACCATCCATTCTTTTTAAAAAACTCTCCTGTGATCAAACTTGGAAATGCGGCTTCAAGTAAAAAGTAAAAGTAAAAAAAGATGGAAAGATCTATTAGTTGGTTCTGTGGGAAGTTTCTTTCAAAATCACAAATTCTGACTGAAAATTAACCATTCATAAATGCAAAAATAGAGCATGGGATAAAAGATTGGTATTTTGAAAACAAAACTCATAAAAAGATGCAGAGCTGTGCTAGTATCTAAAAAAATGTAGCATACGCAGTACTCTGTGGGTATCCTAACCCATTCTGTAGCTTGATTGTTGGCTTTATATGGAGTTTAGTGCGAGTATCAAAACGACTGAAAAGTTGCTAGAGATGGTTCTTGACTTTACAGCTGTTTGCTTACTGTAACAACCATTCAAAGTTGCAATGGCACTGAAATAGCATGACCGTTTCTCACATGACTGTGGAGGTATCCCCGTTCAGATGCTTGCCACCAACATGTGTCTATGACAGTTGCAGTGTCCCAGGATCATGTCACCATCTTTTGCAATCTTCTGACAAGCAGAGTCAACGCGGAATCCGGATTCACTTAATAACCATGTTACTAACTGGACAACTGCAGTGATTCACTTGACAACTGTGGCAAGAAAGCTTGTAAAATGGAGCAAACTATAAAATGGAGCAAAACTCAACAACTGTCTTGCTTAGCAATGGAAATGTTGGGCTCAATTGTGGTCATAAACCGAGAACTATCTATAGTCATTTATAATTTTGATTTGGTATATGTGAGAAATGTCTGTGCGATTGAGGCATTCAGTTTCACAGATCAGAGAGAAGAGCATATTTTTTTCACTACAGTATGAGCTTTGTCATTTTGCCTTCATTTTCCCAGTAAGAGATATGGGGAAGTTATTCTAATATTTTAAAATGCAATCCACATTTATAAAATATATTTCCAAAACATTACCTCAAGAGGGAAGAACTTACGAAAAATTGCTCATGTTTTTCCCTGTTTCCCCAAAAACAAGACCTCCCTGGATGATAAACCCAGTCGAACTTTTGAGCACATGCACTAAAATAAGCCCTCCCCCAAAAATAAGCGCTCCCCTAAAATATTTAAACGCAAGCGCAGCTGGGGAAGGGGGGAACATGCCCCACATGCACCTGCCATCCATGCAGAACTGCATTGTGGAGGCTGCTCCCACAAATCCTAGCTACCACGCCTCTTCTCTTAGTGGCGGCCGCAAAAAGAGCTGCAGGCCCAGCAACGCTAGAAACAGAGACAGAACTTCCGGCCCTCTCTGGATCAGCTGATCCACGGTCTGCGGGCCGAGGTTAAGGGGCCTCCTGCATCTCAAAAATAATAAGGCCAAGAGCTTATTTCGGAAATCAAAAGAAAATAAGACCCTATCTTAGGGAAAGATAGGGTCTTATTAAAAGTATTTTAATTATTAAAAAAATCCCCCTCCCTCCCAAAATGCATTTTTCATAGCAGCATGTAGGAAGCCAAATGACACTCAGATTTTTGGGACTTTAAAAAAAAAACTTTAACCCAGGCTTCTTGGCATTTCTCAGGCTTGGCATCCAACTTTCCCAGATTTCTTTACTTTCAAGATACATCCAGAAGAAGATAAAGTATTTTGTGGTTTTGAATTTTCTATTCCATAGAAAGGATAGGGATGTTTTCTCCCGATTAAAAATATTTTTATACTCATACATATTTGCCTCTAACTCATATAAAAGAGAGAGATGTGTTTACATTACTATTGCATGGTTACATTATTTTAGTTTTGTACCCTAAAGCTAAATATTTGGAAGTGTAACAAATCTTTAGCCTTGCATATACAGTTAAGCTGTTAAATGTATATGAAAGGGGATGAACAAGAATAGCTGAATGTCAGCTGTCATGTTTTCTCTTAATACCCGAGATTATAAAACTGCTTACTAGTTGTTTAATCCAAGAATGCAATAAAAAGTGTTTGATGTTCTCAAAGAACCAGGTGCACTTTGTCTAAAATTAGCAAACCTTTGTAATAATTCATTTGCTCCACACACAGGTTCATACCAAGTTTCACTGCAGACAAGCACATGCTCCAGGCACCGATACATCAAGTTTGACATTTTCTTATAGTGGTACCGTTCTTGCCAGTCGGGGAGGTAAGTGTCCACATTGCCTTCTATATATAGTGCTGGGTACAAGTTGGTCACAGCTAGTGCTGAATTCATAAAGCAAAATTGGGTTGCCAACCCTGGGGATGGGGGAAGAGAACAAAGGGACTTCTATCCCGCTTTGAAGAAGCTTATGCCTAGTTCCCATTGCCCATTTGCCTGAGGGTGGTTATATGCCTAAACTACGCGAGTATCCTCAGTCAGGATATGAGTATGTTAATCAAGCACGTTACAACTTAAGTGCTTAAAAAACGGGGAGGGGGGGACAAGGAGCAGAAACAGGACCCCAGTAATAGCAGATGTGTTGTCAATAGTCAGACATACCTGCCCAAATGCAAGGGATCAAAGGCAGAATTCTGTTTGGGGTGGAATAAGAACTTCCAATGAAATCCTGGTAGTGCAGACTTAGTCAAATAGTTTGACAGTGTTGAGGGAATTATTTGTTTAGCAGAGTGATGGCATTCAGGAAAAATCTGTGCTTGTGTCTAGTTGTTCTGGTGTGCAGAGCTCTGTAGCATCGTTTTGAGAGTAGGGATTGAAAGAGTTTATGTCCAGGATGTGAGGGGTCTATAAATCTTTTCACAACCCTCTTTTTGACTCATGCAGTGTACAGGTCCTCAATGGAATGGTAGCAATTGTTTTTTCTGCAATTCTGATTATCCTCTGAAGTCTGTGTCTGTCTTGTTGGGTTGCAGTATAATACTGCAGTAACTACTAAAACAAAGTGAAATGCAACCACATTTTTGATTATAGCACGCCATAATGTTTGCCTGTTGGAGATGTGAGACCAAAGATGGCTCACTTACTTGGACAAAGGGAAAGGAACAACAGAAGAATTGCTTATATGCATTCCTAATTTTATTCCTATTGAGCATATAGAACTTGACAGAAATGTAAGAAAGTAATAGTTAAAGAAACACTTCGGACCCTGAAAATAGCTCTTAAAACATTCATGGACTATATAAAATGTAGTATAATAAAAGATGACTAGAAATGTATGCTTATGAGATGTGGTGGCTCAGCGGCTAAGATGCTGAGCTTGTCGATCAGAAATGTCGGCAGTTTGGTGGTTTGAATCCCTAGCTCCAAGTAATGAACTTGTCCCAGCTTCTGCCAACCTAGCAGTTCGAAAGCGTGTAAAAATGCAAGTAGAAAAATAGGAACCACCTTTGGTGGGAAGTAACAGCATTCCGTGTGTATGACCATGGAGACATCTTCAAGGCTTTTCAGCTTTGAAATGGAAATGAGCACAGCCCCCTAGAGTTGGGAACAACATATATATGCAAGGGGAATCTTTATCTAACGTATGTTTGGCTTGTTCATAAAAATAGGTTGAAATTAAGCTGTAGAGATGTCATCTTGTCTCTTAATGTGATACAAATTTATGCAGTCAATATATTTTGTTTTAAAATGATTTTACATCTGCAAGTTTTTGATGCCACAAACTGGGTGTAGCTGCTTATGAGTATCTGCTATACTAGGGTTCCACTACCTTTTCTACTCTTTTGGAAATGATGTTAGAGCCATATAAAAAAACCGCCAATAGAAGGGTGAAATGTCTACTTGACATGGTTTGTCACAACAGGATCAATATTGTAAGTTGACTTCCAAGTCTTTTTAAAATAGAAAGTTGAAAGTTAAACTGGAAACTTAGTGCTAAAAGGAAAGAACTTGTTTTAGTGGAGATGTGAAGTAAACTAAGAAAATATTTAATTTATATATTAGTGATCTAAATGAAGTAAAGGAAAAGAAAATGTTACTGTTACTAAGCGTAACGAATAGAGGAGAAGAACTGCAATTTGGGGGTTACACTGAATTTGGCAATTAACTATACAAAATTTCAATTTAAGTTTTAAGGAAGAACATTAATAGCAATAAAGCCCTCTCTAAGTAGTTAACAGTGTCAGCGTATTGCCCCAACTGTCTGGTCCTCATTTTATGGGCCTTGGAAGGATAGAAGGCTGAGTCAACCTTCAGCTGATCAGAATCAAACTACTGAACTGCTGACAGCTGGCAATCAGTCAGCAGTATTGCATTCTAATCACTATGCCATCACAGCTCTTAAAACATTGTTATGGCTATTCACAGATAGCTTCATTTTATAGAAGTAGACTCCAAGTAAAGAAAAGAAAGAGAGGAAAATATTTTCCATACTTGACAGACTTTGGTGATGTCTCTTTTTATTTTATTTTTTATATATGTCCCTTGTCTTGTCTGTGAGTCGCCCAGAGTCTCTAGGGAGTGGGCGGCATACAAATGTCAATAAACCTAAACCTAAACCATATAAGATAAGTTGAAAGATGGTATTTGTCAATCACTCAGTGAATATCCAAGGCTGAATAAAATTTCCTGATTCTGGTCAAAGACTTACAGATACAAAAATATTAGATAAATCTAATTTTAACTATCAGGGAAGAAATATCAAAATAATCCCTCCAGTTTTGGTTTACAAAGGCTTTTCTATTTACTTTATCTCATACTTCTTTAAAGGTTTTTGAAGTATCATCTCTAGGATCAGTTCTGATCAGGATTTTCTATTAACCACACAAACTAGTTTATAATACAGATTTGGAGGAAACTATGATGAACGTTAATAGTCATGGTTAATGATGATGATGTAATATTAACTATGATTAAGGCTGGCTGGTGGGGAAGTAGGATGGAAAGCAGTGAAGGAAGAAAACATTTGCTAACATATTTTTAAAAATATAAACAAGAGTCATCTGCCTGAGTTTCTCTCTTTTATATCATCCCTCCAGAGAAATGATCATGTCAAGGCCTAGTTTGTCAAGGCTGTAGGGACCTTGATTGCGATTTATTTTTTGTGAAAGATATTTGAGCATTTGCCAGATACAGTTGTTCTTCTGCATATATTTCTAAAGTTGAGTTACTTAGTGTTTGGACATAGTGTAGAACTTGGGACTTGAGCACTGCAGTCTTGGTTTGTATTTTTTTTAAAATTTATTATTCAGTTTGCATAGCTACCCATCTCAGATATGTAATACTTAACAGCTCATACTGCCAAAAAACATGCATATAAATAATTATGCAATAACAACAACAAAAGCATTAAAACCATTAAAAATGAGTGTGGTCAAGAGATGTATTTCTGGTCCGATTTGCATATTATGTGTTCTCTGTCATGTAGACAGTAATTAAAACAGTTTTGACCTCTCTCAGTTAATTAGAGGAATTTTCTCAACTTCTGTGTACCTGTAGAATCATTCATGTCCTCTTGTAACATTGGATAGAGAGCAAATGTGACCCCCTAGCATTCCATTGGATAGAGGATAGAAGTGGCCCTTAATATCCCCTGTAATTTTCAGAGACCCATCAAGTGGATGAGGGGAAAAATGACTCTTTCTTTGATCTTTTAAAGTTTGGCAGGTAAGTTAGTAAACCATGTGTTCCTTTAAATGACCTAAGGCAGTGATGGCTAACCTTTTTGTCATTGTGTGCCGAAAGCACACGGGTGGGGGCACAACAGCATGCACATGCGTGCCCACACCCATAATGCAATGCACACATGACACACCCCTCTCCCTGCGCATGTGTGTCAGACCACCCTTGCCCCCGGTTTTGAGCCTAGCAGGCCTCCCTGCAGCTTCCTGGGACCAAAATGGGCTGCAGGGAGAGCGCTGTCTCCCCACGCTCTCCCTGTCCACCATACATGCATGCGCAATTCCGCCCCCATGCATATGTGTGCATCTCCCACATGCACCCCAGCCCCCGTCCATGAGTGGCAGAGACCCAAAAACCAGCTGGCCGGCAAGAGGTGCGTGCACATGCATGGTGGAGCTGAGTTGGGGAGACTGCTCGCGTGCCTGCAGAGGGGGCTCCACGTGCCACCTGTGGCATGTGCCATAGGTTCGCCATCACGGACCGAATGTGTTTCGGTATTTTTTTAAAAAATCCCCAAGACCATCTGGAAAAGGGAGTCCTGGGTTTCATTTCATTTCATTCATCAAAAATACATCGCTGCCCACTTGACAAAAAAATGACTGAACAGCAAGAAGTAGAACTATAAAATTGTTAATGTATAAAAAACTATTATTCATTTTAAAAAACCACAGTTAAAAGATAAGAGAGGCAGCAGATATCAATGATAATGGAGATACTTCGGTAACTTATGGTCTCCATACATGATGGCATAACCAGACTTTGAGGGATGCCAGAAAATTAACAGGGATTAATTGCAATTTGGGTGCTCGGCAACCAGCATGTATTTATGCATATATTTAATTTATGTACTTATTTAGCATGCCTTGGTCACATGATCCATATTTGCAACTTTCCCAGCCAGTTTCTGGCAAGAAAGTCAATAGGAAAACTAGCAGGAAATTGGGAAGTGAGGACTACCTATAGATCACCTGTATATTTTATCAAAATCTTACCCACCGTCAAGCAGTAGAAATACAACTTCCTCTTTTCTACCTTTATTCAAAACAATCAAATCTATTGCCAGATGAATATTATTTGATACATGCCTAGTTTTGAATGAACTCAACTGAAGAATTTTTTGCTAAACAGAACAGTTAAGATTTTAATAGTTAATCAATGAAGTAGGATTACAGTGAACATATAATGTATGATCTTTTCTGGGTTTTTGGTGTGACTGTTATATAAACTTCATTAAATGAAGAAATGACATACCATTTTCAATATTTTCTTATAGAGTTGATAGAGCTTAGGAACAAATATACCAATTCTTCTATAACATTTCATAAGAAATGCATTAAATTTCAGTGTTTATAGCTAATATAAATGTTTTATCTCTGCCACAACTGAAGGAGTATGTACAATAATATTATTGAATGCACGTGCTGTTACTAGTCTATGGAGGAAAATACAAATTAAATATGATTTGAATAATTTCACAATGATCTGAATACTGTCTTAACATGCTTACCTGTAAGAAAATAGAGAAATGATGAGGAATATAGTGGAAACTTGGCAAATAGTTTGGGGACAAAAAAAAAGAGTAAGAAATCAGTACAACCATGATGTGAAGAAGACATTTAGATCTGTTGAAGATACCATTTTTCTAATTCAAAAATTGTACTTGACTTACATAGTAAACTTGAAAACCTGTCTGTCGAAGCTTTTAAAGCTAAAATTAGCGTCTCACATTTAGATCTTTGCCTGTATAAATTCTAATAAATTTTTCAACAGTTGAATATTTCCTTCAGGCTTGGTTTGTCAAACCACATTTAGAATCCTTTTGAATCCCTTAGATTCACCTTTCACTCCAGAATTATCACTGAAAAGTCCAGAGTAGGATTCGTAACCTGGGACATTTCCAATAACACTGAATGACAACCCTCAGTTTCCCACTGTTGGCTGTGCCATCTAAGGTTGCTGGGAGTCAGCCCCTAATACAGGATTTGGGGGAGATTTTACATCCCATTTGAGCACAATGAGAAATTACAGCATTTATAATGAGCCACGGTAGCGCAGTGGTTAGAGTGCAGTACTGCAGGCTACTTCTGCTGGCTGCCTGCAATTTGGCAGTTCAAATCTCACCAGGCTCAAGATTGACTTAGCCTTCCATCCTTCTGAATGGGTAAAATGAGGACCCAGATTATTGGGGGCAATAGGCTGACTCTGTAAACCACTTGGAGAGGGCTGTAAAGCACTGTAAAGCGGTATATAAGTCTAAGTGCTATTGCTATTTCTGCTCTAAGAAAAAATCTTCATTTCACATGAATACCATTTTCTCTTCTTTTGCGCTGGCAGGGGAGGCTTAGAAAACCTTTTCTTTTAATTTTAAACTAATCATAATCTTTTGCAAATTTTCAACTAGAACTGTAGTTCATTTATAAGTGTTATTTTGTTTATTCTCTGGAATTTCTCTAGGTCTATTATTTACAATTCCTCTTGGACCAAAACATTTGATGGAGAAAATCACTGAAAAGGTTAATATCTATGCTTTCTAATATAATAATTGCATTTTAACCATTGGATATTTAATGTTTGTTATTTACTAGGTGATGATACCTTAAAAACCTGGGACATCAGACAGTTTAAAGCACCTCTTAATTCTATCAGTGGCTTACCAAGTTTCTTCCCCATGTAAGTAGCTTTTATAATTTTTAGTGAAAAGTGATGTGCAGAAACAGATCAAGATTACTTCACTGGAGAAACATTTTCTGAATTTAAGTTTGCTTGGCTTGAACTCAACATATCTGCAATTTTGGCTTACCAGTTTTCAAGAAATGGATCAAATTGATAAAGTGTTAAGCTTCCATTTAAAACAGGGATGGGGAACTGTGACTCTTTTATGACTTAACTAAGTATACTGGCTCAGGAATTTTGGGAGTTGAAGTCCATAAGTCATAAAAGGACCATAGTTCCGCATATCTGATTTAAAACATTGGCTGAGTAGTTATGAAATATGAATTACCTTGCAAGGCAATATTTCATAGGACTGTTAAAAGTTGTAAAAGTTGCACTCAACTTACCTCAAGGATCCAAAAATCTTTTCACTTGAAAGAATTCTAGTTTACTTTTTTTTAATAGTATATATGCTCCCCCCCCCCTAAATTGTTAATAGTGAGTTGCATGATGACATAGATTTGAAGGGCTTTTTGGATTTAGTAAAGATGAGCCATATTAATCCAAATAAGGATATAGCACAAGTGGTGTCCAGCATAAGCATGGCTATAACTATGAAACAGTGATAAGTTTGGCCAAGCTGAATGGCCTTGGTTTATTACCATTTGGCTCTAAAACTTTGCTTCATGGATGATAGCTGTGAAAGCCTACACCACCGTGGTGGGTTGCAGGCAGTATGTCTCATTACAGGTGTACCAGTGCCTGCTGGGAGCACCGGGCACCGTTCGGGTATGGTGTCCGGAGACCCCACCCGCCCACCTGAGCTCCTTACCTGTATTTGAGCTCTTTACCACTTCTGCACACGTGCATGGAGTGCATGGCGCCTGCGTGACGCTCCGCTGAGCAGCTGGAGCATCACAGAGGCATCATGGAGGTAAGGACGCATGCGAGACCGCCTCCTGCCAGTCACCTCCCAAAGACCTATTAGATCCCACAGACTAGGCCTCCTCCGGATTCCATCTGCCGGCCAATGTCGGCTGGCAGCCCCCCCCCCGGGGGAGGGCCTTCTCTGTGGCTGCTCCGGCCCTATGGAACGATCTCCCCGTTGAGATCTGGACCCTTACTACCCTCCCGGCCTTCCGCAAACAACTAAGATCTGGCTGTTCCGGCAGGCCTGGGGCTGTTGAATTATCCAGCCCTATCTGAT